CTATTTCTAGAGAGCAAAACATCAAAATCTCCCCAAAAGCCATCTTCAAACTCTATTCATTTGGCTACATAAAACTGAGGAACATAATGAAGAGCTGATGTGACACCTCTGCCTTCCTCTCCTCACAACAGATCGTTGTCCAGAAAAATACACCTGCCTGAACGACACAGAATTAGATATTAGGAGCAGTCCATTATATCATATTTAAAACAAATGGATAATTCCCTCTCCCTGTGTCTCTAAAATAACATGGGACTAATGGAACATACAGCAGAGGGGATAACACAGACTGGAACATCCATAAGTGCATTTGCTTGTGTAGCAACATGTAAATAAATACTATATCAAACTCACTTTGATTTCAACTAGTGCAATATTTATGGCTTTTCAAACCTGACAGATTCCTTTTGATAAGGTTTCACACACTAATTGCTCTGGAAGTGATAGACAGTTCACATCCCATAGGCAGTTTGTAACAACAGACGCTCAAAATCCAGCCTGAGATGGCTCCTGGTGACTGGGATGTTTGCTGGAGCTCCAGACACGGAGCCTTTCAGCACAAAGAACCAGCAGTAACAGGCAATTCGTGGTTCTCTAATTACACATTAGACCCTACATTCTGGAGGAAATTATTACAAACTTCTCCTTTCTACTTCAGGGCCCTTTTCCATGTAATTTTGCCTAATTTACAACGCTTTTAATTTCCTCTTTAAAGCACATTCAAGTAGGTCTCTCAAACACAGAATACTACTCCAAGATTTCTGACAATATTTTCTATTTTTAAAGGTGAGGAGCAACTCCATTAGCAGCAATCCCATCACCAGGAGCAGAGCCCCTGCCTGGTTATCCACTGCAAAGACCTACGTCTGACTTGGATACTCTACTTCACTACCCTGATCACCTGGATTTTGATGACAGATCAGAAGGAGGTGAAGATATTTGGGTGGCAAATCTTCACTTCTCCAAGGACAGCAGGATGAAGAAGTTACTTGCCTATTTTTTTGGTATAATCTATGCACCTTGGCTCAAGCCATCAGCACATGGAAGATGTTCAAGCCCCAAACTTTTCTTGCTCTACCAATTACATGAAGAACCTTTTTCATCCATGCTGATTGGTTTCACACACTTGGCTACTTGCACTGCCCACATCACCACCACAGGCACATGCTGGAAGAAGGAAAGGGGATTTCTTTTTGCCAAAAGAATGCAGGTTTCTGTCCACGAGGTCACAAGGTGCCAGGGATTTGCTCAAAGACAACAGATGGGGAAGAGTGTCCTAAATTAGTCAACATCACTCACCTACTGCAAAGGACCCTATGGAAAATTTGGGCTTGTGAAGAGCAGTGGAGGTAAGAAGCTTGTTAGCAGAAGCTTGTGGCAGGAGGGGCCTCAAACAGCAGCTCTGCAACATCAGGAGAGTCTTGATTCAGAGCTCCACTGACAGCCTCTTACTCAACTTGCTATTTACAGAGTTGTTTTAGTTAAACATGTGGCAGCAATATATTAAAACAAACAAACAAAAAAGCACCAGAAGCCTTTTTCTTCACTCCCTTTATCCTTTTTCAGCTCTCACACAAGTTGCTCCTACCATGCCCTGCAGTGAAACCCTGATGCTCAGGCTGCCTCTGTGTTTCAGGACCCAGCACATGAACCAGCAACCCATCCCCTGGATCACACACAAATATCCACCACTATTTAAAAACCAGAACCCAAGGCTCTGCCACTATTGCACAGCTAAATATCCTGGTTTAATTCAGAGCAGCCAGCAGACGCCATCAACTTTAGCAATTAAAAAGGAGATCAATTATTCAAGCCACTTGAATAGAGATTTTCGGATGCCTTTGCAATTTTATTATCAAACTCTTTTTTTTTAATTTTCAAACTCTTTTTTTATTTTCCCCCCAGGAAGAAACATTCTGAGCCACTTGCCAGGACACTAGCAGCAAAACCTGGTCCCCCCTTGTGCCACACCACGGGGCAGGGATGTTCCTGGAGGAGCTGAACCCACCAGGATGCTGCTGCCCAGATGCAAAGCAGCAGAAGTTGGAGCATTTTGCCTTGCAGTGTGGTTTTCCTCTGGTTTGTTGGATTATTTTGTCTTTTAGTAGAAGAAATCTTTTCTGGATTTTATTTTTTTTTTTTAAAGTCTCCTCCCTAAAGTCAGGGCTGTCACCTAAAAAGGTCTCTGTAGCTGTTATGGGAAAAGCTATTAAAACATCAAGATTCTGGTAACCATAAAGCTGAAGAGAGGAATGAAATTTTGAAATGAGTATTAGCCCAAAAATGAGGATCATTTATCATTTTTAATAAGAATAGTGTGGTACAATACACTATTATTTTTTATAGGCTTTACTGAAAGTTACAGAGATTAATCCAATCCTTAATGATTCCTATAATTTGTAGGTTATCACCCACCCTGTCACTCTCAAGTTGGACAGGTGGGAACTGTTTTAGGTTTGCACTTTCCTTCATCAAGCAGTTCTGTCTAATTATGGTTGCTTTTTTGATTTGGTCAAATGCAATTTATTCTAGAACTATGGGAAGTGCTGAAGCTTTGAGATTTTACTCCATACCTCTGCATTCCCTGCCACGGATGGGGCCCTTCCAGGTACAGGTGGCAGCAAGAGGAAAGTCATGAGAAATTTTTCCTGGAAAGAAGAGATTCCCTCAACCCCTGCAGTGCAGCTGATGGTGGTGAGGAACTGAATCCAGCATTGTGTTTTTACATGGTTTAGTAGAGACATTTTCAACCTTTCTTGGCTCTGTGTGTGTTACTGCCTGTGCCTGCTGCAGTCCAGGTTTCCATCAGAGAAGCTGATGCACCCACTGTGGAGCCTCCTCCTCTGGAGAGATCCCAAACCTGTCTGGACACCATCCTGGGCAACATGCTCTGGGTGAACCTCCTTTAGCAGGGGTGTTGGATGAGATGACCTCCAGAGGTCCCTTCCAAACACAACCATCTTGCAATTCTACCAGCCTAGCCCTTCTTCACCTTCCAACATTTGCTGCACTCCAGGCTGGGAAGTGCCAAACATTCACACTTGCTGCTTATTTGATGTATTCAGATACTACAACAACATTTGGAAATGTTTGGAAACATTTGGAAAGCTGGCAGTGGGCAGATTCAGGCTGGAT